GAGGACAAAGTCGAAGGTAACTCCACCAATTTATTGTTAGCAACTTTTAATGATATCAAGGCATTTAAATTACTAATTTCAGCTGGCAAACTCTTCATCTTGTTGAATGAAAGATCTAGATATTCCAAATTGTATAAGCAGCCAATTTCTGGAGGGAGGTATCTGCGGGAAACACACCATCAAATGGATCAAGTTAAAGGTAACTATTTTTTACATTATACAAAAATGAAGAAACCAATAGCCATGATGTAATGGAGGGCCATTCGGCTAAATATACAAACATTGCTAAACCAAATTAATGGTTATATCATAATAAAAACAAGAATTTCACTCAATGGCTAACCACATAGAGATAATTAACAACAGCATTATCGATCACTAAATTGCAGACCACCATTAATTGAAATAACATATTTCAAATAATACACAATTACCTTTGACACATTTCATGTTTCTTTTCCTCAAGATCCATAAAATATATCATAAAAGCAACAAATGTTCTTAAAGATTTCATGTTCCCAGTATAGTAAACTTGCATGGCAGCGCCTAGTGCATCAACATTCTTTCCCCAATTTTAAGGTCTCAATTTAACATCCCGTAAGTAATGATTTCTCTTCTTTCTGTTACTTTATGAGTGTTTGTTAGCAGTTGTGTATCGTAGAGTTCATGGAAACTGAATTGTATGACCATAAGCATACATATATTAAGACAAACACAGACATTTCAGAATGTTAGACCATCACTCACACAAAAAAGTTCATTAAGAAAATTTTAAATTATCTCTTAAGAAAAACTCAAAAAACATCTAGGCATAAACACTAATGCAATCATTAAGTCATCCTACTCCCTCATCAAGCCTAACTTGTAATGATCCTTGAAGCTCAAGCTTCACTGATTTAGAACCTATTCTAGCTCACTAACCAGCCTAGATGCACAATGCTTAAACCATTTAGGAGCTCAACTTCAAGTGGGCTAATTTTGGAATACTAAATATGTAAGCTTTTAGGGGCAAATATCACGGTAGGTACAATCTCACTACTTATGCAGTCTATATCACTAAACAAATACTTGAAAGTAAAGCATTCCAATGAACCTGATAAAGAAGTGGCAAACAGAGAGCTTGGTGAGACACTTGAGCCCAGCAATCTCACTCAATATCTGCAACGCGGAAGGCCTCGGTGGCACTTTGGAAAGCTCAAGCTCTTTCAAGCCTTCCAATTTATTAAATGGCAACCCACCAAACTCCGGCGACGGTATCCTCACTTGCAAGCGTTCCAAGCCCACCAAGCTCCCGAACTCCGACGAACCCAAAGGTGGGATCAAATTAATCTCATTCCCAAAAAACTTCAATGTCCTCAACCGCTTGAGCGCCCCAATAGACTTGGGCAATAAATTAAACACGTTTTTGTACAAATACAAAGCCGCAGCGTCGTCAAAATTCTCCCTGATCGAAAAGTCCAAGCTTTTCCCGGAGATGTCGAGAACTGCCGACTCGTCCTCAGCAGTGGCAGCATCATCTCCATCTTGCACAGTCGAATTGGAGACTTCTGGTTCTCCACGCTCCTTGAGGTTTTCGAGGGCTTCGGGGGCAGCTTCGTCAGAATCTGGGACTTGCATTGAAAATCAGAGCTGTAATTTCAAAATAATCCGAATTTTTGAACTGCCCCGGATGACAGATCTGTTTGGGATGAGAGAAAATATAGGATTAATGGGCATTGGAGGAAAGAATGACGGAAAATAATAAGAGAGCGAGGGAAGGAAGAAAGAAAATCGAAAGAGGAGCGGGGAAGAAGACTGACCGCTCCTTTGTGAATAATTAGAGAGAGAAAACCAAAAAAACCCTAGAGAGCCGAGAATTTAGTACATTTTACAGTGTAGTTTCCCCGAAGCGAAGTACAACGAGTCACGCACTATTATATATATATAAATTCCTGATTTGAGCACCCGCGCCACCGCGACTTTTCTAAGCAAACAAGTTTTGCAGGATCCTGGTTTAAATATGAATTTGTTACTTTTTAATGTTTTGAGGTGTCAAAAATCAACGCACCGCATTGGATATTTCTTTTTTGATAAATTCTTTTGTACCGTTGAAGTGAGGAGTGCGCTGAGCAATTTGGAAAGTACTTGGCAAATTCTAAGCCAACAAATAAGAAATTACTTGGCACTTGAGTTTTGCTTGAATTTTTGTTTTGATTCATGAGTTTGACCAAATTTATTTCTTCTGCATTATCAAGTTAACCATTTTGATCTTTAATGTGTGAACTTTTGCGTGTTACTTTGATTTTTAATGTGTGAACTTTTGAGTGTGACGTGTATGCACATTTATGTTAAAATTAAATGCAAATGACTAAAATATCTGACATAGTAAAATTCAAGGACATCAATTGAAATCGCAAGGACCATATTGAAATTATAAGTACAAGTAGAAGGATAAAGGAGGTATTGAACCAATTTTTAAATGTTGTTATCTTTTATGTTTTGTTTGGATGAATGAAAATAACTCGAAATTTAGCTAAAAGTCGAGAATTGAAGAGAAGAAATTGACATTTTCATTGTTTGGCAACTTAAACATAAAACTTATGAAATGAGCAGGAATTGATATTTCCATTGTTTGGCAACTTATTTCCTAAGTTTAATGTACTCTAAAAGAGTCGTCATTTCACAATTCTAATTGAGCAGGAATTCGTTTTCACTGTAATTTTTGTAATTTACAAAATTTGACACACGTAAATCCAAACACTAAAATTATTAATTTCCAGAAATTTAAACGATGGATATCTAAATTCCGTCATTTAAGAATTATATGTAATTTTCAATTCTTTCATCCAAGCGGAGGGTTATCGAATAACTCTCATCTGAAAGTAGTTATGCCAAGGGGGTCTTAGCCTAGTGGAAAAATACTTTGACTTGCAGACTAGTGATCTTAGCTTCGAACCCCCGTGGTACCTTGGTATTGTGTGTGAGAAAACTCTCTTCCCCCACCCCCCCTTCTCTTTCCTTTCCTTAATTGCGGCAAAAAAATTGAAATTAGGCATTGTGTGTAGTATAAGCTTGAAACTCCAATATATTTCGGAATTCGAAACATTCGAACTCTTGAGATACGTTGTAATTCCAATCTATTATTCATTTATTTATAATTTTCATATTGCGAAACTTTTAAATGTTGAAATTGAATTTGAACTTGCCAAAACTTGAATTTTAGGATCGGAATAAGAGTTTTCAATCGAACTTGTACTCATACCATGATTGGCCCCAAATAAAAGGACTACTAGAAACCTCTTCCATCTCAAGTTCACATTGCTTGGGAGCTTTCTCTCGTAGTTTTGGCTTAAGCTAAATATTGATTGTGCTTGAAAAATGAGATGGAAGTATTTTGGGTTTGGTAAGGGCAACATTTTGGGGTTGCAACTTGCAAGGTATAGCAACCCATGCCAAAAATCCATCCTAATGCTTCAGCTCACTAGAGCATTGCAATTTGCAACCACATGCCTAAGTATATTGACATGGTTGAAGCTTCTGAAAATTGCGCTCACGCGGAACAAAAGTTGCAGCTTACTTGCCATGTATTTAGAGTTGTGACCAATGGGCCCCCTACATTCATTTTGTTTTTTAGAGCCCCAATTATTGGGATACCATTTTAGATTTCATCGGAGTTCTAAATGGAGCTTCGTCAGCCCTTTTTAGAACAAGAGGAATGCTAGCAACCTTCTCTCTAACCTTCTCCTTTGGACCTTCTCCATTTTTTGCTTGACATGTGTCATTCTTTTTACACTTAAAACAATGTCATTAATATATTATACAAGCTAACTTTTGTTTTCCAAGTTTACCCTTATTAAATGTATTCAATTTATCTAAAAAAATTTCACAACTTTCTTACCATCTTATTAATTTTTTTCTAACGTCAATTAATTTTTTTAAAGAAAATATATGCTTTTAAGAGGAAATGTCCCCTTTTTTTTTTTTAATAACACAAAGGGTTTAGATAGAAAAAAAAAAAAAAAAAGTCCTTTGTGTTTTTTTAAAAAAGGGGACATTTTCTCTTTTTTGAAAAAAGCAAACATTTTCTTTAAAACAATAATTGACATTTTAAAAAAAAAAAGACGGTAAAAAAGTTGTAATTTTTTTTGGGATAAATTGAATACATGTAATAAGGATAAACTTGGAAAACAAGAGTTAACTTGCATAATATATTAATGACATTGTTTTAAGTGTAAGGAGAATGACACATGTCAAGCAAAAAAGGGAGAAGGCCCAAAGGAGAAGGTTAGAGAGAAGGTTGCTTGCATTCCTCTTAGAACAAAAAAATTTGTAAGAAACGGGTATAGTACTATCAATCACAGACTGACACGTGAAAAAGTGATTACGCATGACATATCGTAATTGGCCGAAAATAATAAAATAATGCTATTCTCTTGTTTCTCCTTTTAGAGCCCCAATCATTTTTTTTTTTTTTTTTTGGGTCTGACAATCATTTTGTATTTTAGTCTCTCACTGTTCGCAAGAGCCACTGTGATTCATTTTAGTTTTTCAGCCTAGGCTTCTTTTAACTAAAACAAAAATTTAGAGGGATTCGTGTTTGAATCTATTGATTCAGACTATTGATTTAGATTGATTCATGAAATTTAGACCGTTGACTAATCTTTTTCTTTTGAACTTTTGTTAACGCATGGGTCCCATGGTAGGATCATGACCACCCATCTTGACCATCTCGTATACCTGCACACCCAAAGAGATAAGAATTTTAACAATGACATGGCAAGATCAGAGCCCTTCAATGCACCAATTGCACAGATTTTACCCGGAGGTTACAAACCATAAACTACCCGGCCATCGTACATCATGCATGCAAAACAGCGAAACACGGGACCTCATCCACCGCCTAACGAACTCCTCGTCGAGCTATCACAAAAAGAAATATCAAAATTAAAATTAATTTTTACAACCGAATGCCCCGTCTCTCTTCTTCCCGCCCTTTAAATTGAGTCTCTCTCTCACATTTCTCCACAATTCAAATATTCAAATCTCTCTCTCTCTCCATTCTCCAAAATCCAAACACTCGCCTGAGGTTTCTTCAACCACAACGACGAAGATGATCGCTACTCTCAAGTAAATCACAGATCTGAAAACACCTTATCTTCGTTTCAGTTCGAATCATAGAGCATATTCTTCTCTAACATTGAAACCTAACGTTCTCTGTGTGATGATGCTCAGAGCCGAAGAGCAGAGCCAGCTACAGCTCGTCGAACGCGAAGACATCGACGATGAAGAGGACCTCTTCGAAGCGATCGACAAGTGTAAGCTTCTTCACGACCTCCGCTTCACTTCGCTTTCCTTTCACATGCTTAATTCTCGATATATACCACTTCGAATCGCACATTATTTTCGATTAAATTCAGAAAAATAGAATTCGTTAACTATTTTTCTCGATTTATTTAAACATTCATCGTTTCAAGATTGATCTCTGTGATTCAGTGTTCAGAGCTGAATCGGATTTCGATTTTCTTTTCGTATTTTTAAAATTCTGTTCGATTTGCTCTGTTTTTCTAAAAAAAGAAACTCCAAAAATTTTATGAGTATCTCTTCGTTTAAGTAATTCAGTTTGATTTCTCGGTGAGATCGAACTAGTTTTCACGTAAGTTTTGAGCGACTTCTGCTTCAAAACTGAGGAAATCAAGTTTTGTGCAGTGATTGCTCAGGGAATCAATGCCGGAGATATTAAGAAGCTTCAAGACGCTGGGATCTACACCTGCAATGGCTTGATGATGCATACAAAGAAGGTAAAATGAATGTAAGTTCTAATTTCTCACACTGAGCGCATGTAAAGGTCCGATTCCTTACTCTGATTTCTGTTTGGCAGAACTTGACTGGAATCAAAGGTTTATCTGAGGCTAAAGTTGAGAAGATATGCGAAGCTGCTGAAAAGATAGTGGTTAGCACTCAGATTTTCCTTAATCTGAAACATTCTTATGAGATTCTGAAGTTTTGTGAATGTTAGCCTTCTTCTCGTTTTTGTTAATGTATCTTCTTTTTTTCCTCAGAATTATGGATATATTACTGGGAGTGATGCTCTGACCAGAGTAAGTTCAAAGTTGCGATGGTTTTGATTTGACTCTGTGAATCAAGAAGATCTGAGCCGTCAGATCAAGTTTCTTGATTTACAAACGCAATGGTCTACTGTGAAGCTGAGGAGTTGTTTTTTGTTTTTGTGTATAGAGAAAGTCAGTCATCCGAATTACAACTGGAAGCCAAGCCCTGGATGAACTGTTAGGCGGTAATCTTGGGCTCTTTGTTGTTAAAATGCTTTATTGTGTTTCTTAAATTGCTTCAGTTAATTTGTGCGTAAATAAATTGAAGGTGGGATTGAAACTATGTCAATCACGGAAGCCTTTGGGGAATTTCGGTGAGGCACTGTTTCTTTGATGCATTATCACCGTCCATTTCTTGTATCGAATTCGAAACTAAGAAACCTTATTTGCAATTCTAATATTTTGATTTGTGCTTCTTTACTAACCATATAGATAACATTGATTTCAGGTCTGGAAAAACACAGCTTGCACATACTCTCTGCGTTTGTACACAGGTTCCTCTCTCTCCTTTAGTTATGCCGTAGCGTACAGGGAGATCATTAAGCCATTGTGTAAAACTCTGTTTTGGTCCTTTAATAACCAGAGCTTAACTATATTGAATAATGCAATCTGATTCAAATAACACAAGATATGCATCAAGCTTTGCTGATTGAGGTTGCCTTTTACTTTGCAGCTTCCCACTAACATGAAGGGAGGGAATGGAAAAGTTGCTTACATTGATACTGAAGGAACCTTGTATCCTTCTTGTTTGTCCATCCCATTTGATATTTCATACTGCACATTTCAATGCAAGCAAGAATTGTCTTAAAAACTTCCATCAAGTTCAGTTTAAGTATGTTTTCTTCTTAACTATATGCACTTGCAGCCGACCCGATCGAATTGTGCCCATAGCTGAAAGATTTGGTTTGGACCCAGGAGCTGTCCTTGACAATGTAAGTTTCATTTTATCCATATACAACAGTCAAACTAATGATGCAATTATTGTGAACTAACTGTGTCATTTTCTGCGGCTGCAAAAGATCATTTATGCTCGTGCCTATACATATGAGCATCAGCATAACCTGCTTCTTGGTCTAGCTGCAAAAATGTCTGAAGAGCCATTCAGACTTCTGGTAAGATTTCACTAACAAAAACTCTCTTATGGATAATTATCAAGAAGCTAGGAAGATTGATTTTATATGTCTTCATATTTTTTCAGATTGTGGATTCAGTGATTGCTCTCTTTCGAGTGGACTTCACTGGAAGAGGAGAACTTGCTGACCGCCAGGTCTGCTCCATGGATTCCCCGCAATCCCTGTAACATTTCAGATTTAGATCTTATGTTCATCTTTACCCTTCATTTATCTTTTAATAACACAAGCAAATTTTAATATGCAGCAAAAACTAGCTCAGATGCTTTCCCGATTAACAAAGATAGCTGAGGAATTCAATGTTGCTGTCTACATGACCAACCAAGGTAATTAGCGATCAACCAATTTTGAAGGCCCTTCCGTGCTCAATCATTTTGTAAGCTTATTGGAGAATCACATAATTGTGCAGTCATAGCTGACCCCGGTGGCGGAGTGTTCATATCGGACCCAAAGAAACCCGCGGGAGGGCACGTCCTTGCCCATGCAGCAACAATCAGGCTTATGTTCAGGAAAGGCAAAGGTGAACAGCGCGTCTGCAAGGTGTATGATGCCCCAAACCTGCCTGAGGCTGAAGCAATATCCTTCATACTTACTTTTAGCGTAATTACTATACTCTGAATTTTCTGATTGCCATCTTTGGTGAAAATTTTGATCCTAATAACCGAGATGACAAAAAATTGTAGGAAATGCCCATATTTCATTCGTTTGTTAATTCTTGACAGATATGCACGTTTTTCAGATAACTGCAGGAGGCATTGCAGATGCAAAGGACTGAAGTCTGAGGCTTTTCTATGACACAAGAAATACCGGAACATTTCAATTTCACGCCATATATATGTGTGTAGTTTGTTCAAAACTCTAATGATATGCAACAATATATCCTAAGTTTTTTAAAGCATAAACATAATGCAGTAGCATGATATGTAGAAATTGAACTACAGTACCAGTAAAGGTCTGTATCCATTGTCGTATTATTTGATGTTCTATGCCAGAAGGTTATGGGCCTTATGGCTTTTGACAGTAAGCAATTATATAATCATGTCTTACTTCCAATCGTCGTATAAACTTTGGTAGCCACAGGCAACAGAGTCAATCAAGATGGAAAGCACTAGAGAATAGATGGATCAGTTCAGAACTAATTCAAGGTCTACTTAGCAAAAGGGTCGCCAAGAAAATAGATATAAACTCAGTAAGTTGTTGACCAGTTGGCAGCACTCCCGACTCTTGGGATGCCACTCGATTCCTTCTTAGCCTCAGCATCAACCTTGAAATTGGCACCACACATTTGACCTGAACTATCCACCCTTGGCACCGCCTTCAACTCATTGTGGGGATGCTCATAACTCCTCAAGCCTCCAGAGGAAGTGAAGAAACATCCTGACACGATAGTACCAAAAAAGCTGTTAGCAGTCTAGCTAATGTACTAAGGAATCAAATTAAAAGTCCATGCTAAGACCAAGCAACCGAAAAGGAAGAAAGGCCTAGATCATCCTAATGAGCAACATGAGAAAACCGCAACATATTTACAAATGAAGCAATTGAATGCACACAACTATTGATTTCATACTACTATGGCAAATTGAATGCACCCACATCACCCCCAAATTAACTTGAGAGACATTCCATAGCTTGTACACATCAGTGGCATTGTATTTTTGACTATTAAGTTAGCTGGAACATCGTACAATGCAGAAAGGATTCCAAGAAAATGCTAAACAGTTTTTTATATCAGGCCTTTGTCATAGTTATACCTTTGGGAAATGGTGCAAAAGAATTCCCGCAGCCCTTCTTCACAACTTCTGCATCGTCTGCAAGAACAAGATGGCCTTCAGAATCAGTTCCCCAGAAGAACGGAACATTCCCATCAGGATCCTGCACAAGACAAGCACTGAGCTCAACTACAAGAGCAAATGACCAGTAGGAACAAAGAAAGAGACCACAAGAACTTGAAAGCAAACATTGAAGAACGAGTGACAACTGAGAGATGCTTTACTTACAGCAGCTACAAAAGCGGCTTTGGAAGCACTGTCATAGAGAATAAATGCAAACTTCCCTTGGATGTCTCTCACAACCTGATCAGCAGGATAAGGACCTCGATCTCTCAGAGTTCTGTATGCTTCAATAATGATGATCACTTCATTGGCTGTCTTGTTCAATCCATATTGTTGCTTGAGAAGCGCAACATTCTCAATGTGGCCTTGGAACAGGCAAAAAATGTCGTCCACAACCGCAAACAGCCTAACAATATACGATGAAATATATCAAACATTGAATTGAAGTGGCATCAGGACAAAAAGAAAACTAAGAGTTATACCCTCGGACAAGAAAAATATGTTGCTAAAAAATCGACACGAGAACGAAATTGGAGTTAATTGTTCTTTGGCATGTGAAAAAAATCGACAGTGTTTTCTGTGGCATGTGAAATCATAAAGTAGCATTGTTAAATCTTCTCCTCATGAAACAACAATAGGAGGTAACCACAACAAAATCATAGGATCGATCTTCTACAGCCGAAAACAATAAAAAATTATAAATGAATGTAAAACAACAATGCAATGATCTCAATCCAAAAAATATATGCCCATAACATTTCAAAAACAAAGAGGATATAGCCAAAGAGTTAATCTGTCCTTTTGTCTCATTTCTCCTGCAAACAAACCACATGTTCTTTGTCTTCATTCAAAGAAACCATTCAATTAAACCATATAGTCCTCATCAAGGACTACCTCACCCAAATAAATACAGATCATTTAAGCCCTTTACAATATTTTTTTTTTTAAAAAAAAGCAGAAAAATAATTTCGATAAGCCTATCAGTGAATGCCAATCTCTAAAATTTATTCTTACCCAATAGAGCCAAAACACATACTATCAAATTTTATTTTTTTTTCTTCACGAAGTTACAGAAATACTCTGCTACAGATTTAATCCAAATCAACGTTTTCCGATCACCAGAAGCAAACTAAAACACAAACAAAATGAGAAACCCACACAGAAAAAACCAAACAGCTCACAAATCATCAAGCTCAGATCAACCAAAAACTACAGAAACGATCAAAAACAAAGAAAGGGGCAATCTTTAATCTCTGGTTTTCATAAAGGGTATCTTCCATTTCTGTTTTTTCTTTCATTTTTTTTTCTTTAACAAGGGATGGCATGCGGAGTTGTACCTGGGAAGAAGAGGGTTCTGTTTGTCAAGAGAATAGACGATGAGACCAGAAGAGCCAAGATTGACAGTGACAGAAGAAGGGTGCACAGAGGCAAAGTGCTGCGCGAGAAAGCCATCTTTCAGAGCCGAGACTGATCCAGACTGAGGGCTCTGCAGAGCCTCGGGGCTCTTAGCCACCGATTTGTCGAAAACTGCTAGCATTTTGTGGATCGTTGATCAAAGAGTCAAAGGCAGAGAATGGCTTTTGGGGCTATGTAGAAGATGGAAAATGGATTATAATTGAGGTGGGTTACTTTACCGGTTATATTATAAGCTTCGAGAATGGACTTGTTATTGCCAATATTGCCCTTGCTACTATCCATAAAATTACACCCATCTCTTCCTGTTTTAGCAGTAATAATCTTGTTTTTTTTTTTCTGGTACAACGGAAGATATACTTTCTATTTTCGGGCAAAATTGGCTATGATTTTATAAATCATTGCAATAATTAATTTTTTTAAAATACAGCCAAATAAAAAATAAAAAATTTCAAAAAATTCAAAATTATCCTCATTTAAGAAATATTTTTAAAGCACAACAACTTTATTTTAACCAGAAAAATTTGTAAAATAATATATTAAAATGTAAATAATTAAAGAAACAAAAATATAATACAACTTCATGTCCAATAAAAGTTCTTCATTAATTTTATAAAAAAAAGAAAAAGAATGATCACGTGAAGATTCATAAAAAAAGAATCATCATGTGGAGAGTATTGACTATATAGAGGTTATATTAGAGATACAAAGTTATAATTTCAAACACAAATCGTCTTGTTTTTATGGATAAAAGTGATAGTTTAGTTTTTTTTTTTTTTAATACATTTTTATTATTTTATAATTAATCTAAACCGCCCTACTCTAGTGATGGTAGCACAAGGATTTAAATATTAGGGGTGGTTTAAAAAGAAAAAAAAAGTTGTTTTCTACCCAAATGGTTAGATGGGGCACATGCCCTAATAATCACCTCTTCACGTGATTAGTTATGTTAAAGGAACAACATATATGGGTTAGATTCGAGTTTAAAATCTTCACGTGATTAGTTGTAAAAATAAAAAAGACGATTGAATCATAATAACTAACATATTAAGTGAATTTGTGAATTTATAGTGTAGTCTTAAGACATTTTGGTATGGAGCATGAGAGCATGCTTGAAACATTTCATTTAATTTATTGGTGAATTTTGTTGTATACTTGTATAAAGAGCTTATAGTAAATGGCTTCTTCTTAGCTAGAAAGAATAAAAAGGCTTAAATATATTAGTAAATTTGGCTTACACCATTTAAATTCAATTTGCCATACCTAAAACCCTTCACTTTTTGTTCCTATAAATAATACCCAATTTGTATAAGTAAAAGCCCATGACTAGGATTCAATTCAACAAGTTACCTTATTAAGCATAAAATCTGATCTATTGTACTTTTCAGATTCCAAAAATACCCCCAACTAAGCCATTATTGCATTTTGTATATTAATGTAGGAATCAATATGGAAACAGTTTTTAATTGGATTGTATATAATGACAGATGTTGAATTTGGAAAGATCTCCAAATGGTTGTAATGGATGTAGGAATTAATTTTGGAACATTTAAAAAAAAATTTAACAATAAATTCAAATTTGGGTAATTGGTTTGTTTAATAAAATGTTTATGTTATTTTCTTTTTATGAATTATACATGACTAATAATCCACTTTATAATTGTTTATGAATAAAACTGTACATACTAATTATGTTGAAAAAATAATGTACCTATTTGTTTTATGAAAAATATAATTTACCTAGTATGAAAAGTGTACATAATTATCTATTCCAATATACCTACATTAATTTTAATGTACTTACAATTAGGATTTAGGTATTATATGTCATCCAATGTACCTACCATTTGAATAATATACCTACTACGAATAAAGTACCTATTATTTATCTAAATAATGTACCTATTTTCTACTATAAATAATATAGCCTTTTTTCTCTGAATAAAGTACCTATTATTTGTTTTATCAAACGTAATTTTTTTAAATGAACTTATTTTCTCTCTCCAAATAACTTACCATTTTTTTTCCTCTAATAATGTACCTATCTTTCCTCTTCAAATAATGTACCTATATTTTATATAAATTATTGTGTACCTATTTTTAATTATGAAAAATATACGCAATTACAAAGTAACTGACTTTTTTTTTTTGGGTAAATAATATACCTATATTTTATATGTATATATTTATATTATATTTTTCATAGGTACATTATTGGATATGTAATTTACAGATTTTTTTTTTGTGTTGCAATTTTAAGGGGCGAGATGTGAGAGGGAATGACAACTAAAAGAAATGGGGTGATTGATATGCTATTAATAGGGAGTATATTAATTACAATTATGGCAGTTAATGAAATGCTTGAAATAAATTATAAATAAAATATGAAGTTTAGTGGCAACGATGTAAAAACATAGAAATACTACGACCTCTTATATCCTACTGGTCATTTAAATTTGAATTTGGGTTTTCAACGTAGTTATATAGATAGATGGGTTTGTGTCTAGGGGATATAAGTTGTATGAGCTTATATTGGAGTCTCTCTAAATATATTAA